TCACAGCCAGCGTTACTCTCACCTCGTACCTCAGTGTTCATTACTGCCAGACATATGTCGTTAATGCGCAAACTAGTCGGATAGTAGATTTCTTATTATTTTTTTACTATTGTCATAAATTTGTAATGTCAGAAACAGGCGATAAGTGAGGAGTGGGTGTATACATATATGTGTCTGCTGTGTGTGTCACTACCTCCTGTCTCCACCACCCTCTCCTAAAGGCAGCTGGATCTTAGAAACCAGAGCATCTTTGTTCGCTGAGCAGAATGGTAGGTTTGCATGTCCAGCTCAGAGGGTTGGCCCTAGCATTAAACTGACCCTAGAGAAACTGCAGACACGGCGAGTGAGGGAGGCAGGGGTTAGTGATGCAGGGCTCTCAATGAAGACAGAGCAGAGAGTAACTTCAAGAGGGACCCTCCAGGAAAGGAAGGACAAATGGTGTGCTGGGGAACGGACAGACCGGAAAGCTTCTTCTTCCTATCTTGAGGGTCGCTGGAATCCACCATGCACAATCACTTTGAGGAGTGGGTTTTTTTTTTTAAGGGATGTGATTGTTGTTGTTAGGTGCCGTCAAGTTGATTCCAACTCATAGCAACACTACAGGACAGAGCAGAACCGCCCCATAGGGTTTTCTAGGCTGTAACCTTTACATGAGCAGATCACCACGTCTTTCTCCTGCAGAGCCCCTGGGTGAGTTCAAACTGCCAACCTTTCAGTTAGCAGCGGAGTGCTTAACCGATGTGCCACCAGGGCTCCTTAGGGATGTGTCTGCATGCTGAGTTTTACTTTAAATATGGTGCAGGCTGCAGGGACCTGCTGTCTTCAGGACTTCACAATGGCAACGTCCCTATTACGGAGCAGACCCGGTACTAGGAGCTTCACAAACATCCCGTCCGTGCGAGACACTCACAGAAATTCGACCAGGTAGGTGTCATTGCCTCCCTCTTTCTATGGTGATAATAGCAACGAGAGCAACAGCAAACACTTGGCTTCCTATACGGTTAGGTTCTGTTCTATCCCATCTGGAAACTAAGGCTCAGATTTGGTGAAATCTGCCCCCAAATCACACACAAGCTAGCACCTGGCAGAGCTGGGACTCGCATTTCCTTCTGTCTGCTTTCCAGATGCCATCTGTGTTCCTTCCATATTGCCAAGCCGTCTTCCCCCACCCCACCTGTGTGCAGTCAACAGAGGGCGCTGGGACTGCTCGGGAGGTGCCTCCTTCCAAAGCTACAGGAATAAGTGTTTCCAAACACTTGCTAGAGGTGAGGACAGATGCCTGAGTTTACAAACGGCATGGGCAGGGAATAACCCTTCGAACGGAGCATAATCTCGGTTTGTAAGCCGAGTCTTGTTCTCGGCAACATCACTACGCAGATGGAAAAGCGTTAGCGCGACAGTTTTCATCTTCACGGTTTTTATCTAATGTTTTCACACAGCAGCCGGACCTCTCCCCCACCTTTGTAAAACTCCAGTCTCCCTTCACTCTGAGACTTCGCCCACCCCCTGAATCCAGCCAGTCTGCACTTCTTTCCTTCCTCCTTCATTCCCAGTGCTCCTGTCTTCTTGTACTGTTCTCATGCTCCTGCACCTCCCGTGATGTCCTGATGCATTTCTTTGAATTGACTGGACACTGAAGAGGTCCTCAAACATCGCCGTTCCTGACACAGCCCCTTGACCTGCTCCACAACCCCGAAAAGGTAGCTAAAAGCAGGCGTGAGCTCCCTTGGGCAGGACACGGTACAAGGAAACTGCAGTGATGAGGCTGGATGGTGCGAGGAGGGAGGGAGGATTCAATCTGACATGAACCCCAGGGTCCCCCGAAACCCACTGCTGTCGAGTCGATTCTGACTTCTAGCGACCCTATAGGACAGAGTAGAACTGCCCCAGAGGGATTCCAAGGCTATAATCTTTACGGAAGCAGACTGCCATATCTTTCTCCTACCCCAGGGCCAGCTGCACCAAATACATGGAGTAGCAACTTCTCCGCCACCCCGTGGACTTTAAGGAGGTGCTGGACCCAGCTCCCTGTCCTAAGACATTAACTAAGAACTCATCATACCACTATCTGACATTTATTCCTTGGCACCAAAAGTGATTTTCAGTTGCCCCTTCTTCAACGCACTGCTCTTCCTGGGAATGGTAACTGTCTTACTCATCTAGTGCTGTATGAGAGAAATACCACAGGTGGATGGCTTTAACAAACAGCAGTTTATTCTCTCACGGGCTAGGAGGCTAGAAGTCCGAATTCAGGGCACCAGCTCCAGGGGAGGGCTTTTTCTCTGTCAGCTCTGGAGGAAGGTCCTTACCATCAATCTTCCCCTGGTCTAGGAGTTTCTCAGCACAGGGACCCCGGGTCCAAAGAACACACTCTGCTCCCAGCACGGCTTTCTTGGAGGTATGAAGTCCCCACGTCTCTCTGCTAGCTTTTTTTATGTCTCAAAAGAGACTGACTTAAGACACAACCTAATCTTGCAGATTGAGTCCTGCCTCGTTAACATAACTGCCTCTAATCCTGTCTTATTAACAACATAGAGTTAGGATTTACAACACATAGGAAAATCACATCAGATGACAAAATGGTGGACAATCACACAGTACTGGGAATCACGGCCTAGCCAAGGTGGCACGCATTTTGGGGGGACACAATTCATTCCATAACAGTAACCAACACCTGAAACCCAATAGCCTAAATTAATCTTAAATTCATGCCACTGGAGGAACCGTGGACAGCCAGCCAGGAGCAGGATCACTGACCAGACGCAAGGCAGAAGGGTGTGACGTTCCTGGGGCGCAAGGTGCAGGGGTGGTGGGGAGAAGCTGCTGGGGGAGGGGACGCCCTTCCTTGGACCAGGACCAGGACACTAGAGTGCAGGGTAGGGAGTCCTCAGGTCCATTGCCTCCGTGCTCCAGGTGGTGACTGAATCCATCTGTCCTCACTGGCTATCCACAAGCACCAAACTACAGCCCCAAGTTGGTGGAGACTCCACTGCCTGACTCGTCTAATTCTCTAATTACCACCATTTCCCTGCAGGGCTTCCGACCAGTTCATTCCACTTCCAACCCCTGTTGAGAATTTGCATTTCCACCCCAACTATGGAGCCCTGGTGGCCCAGTGGTTAAGAGCCTGGCTGCTAACCAAAAGGTCGGCAGCTCTAATCCACCAGCCACTCCTTGGAAACCCTATGGGGCAGTTCCATTCTGTCCTATAGGGCCGGTATGAGACGGAATGGACTCGATAGCAACAGCAAGAACCACCCCAGCTATACTGAATCAGAATCTACATTTTAACAAGATCCCCAGGTGATTCTTATGTATAATAAATTTTGAGAACTACTGCTCTACTAGAGATTCTCAGAAATGGTCCCTAACTGGCAGCATTAGCATCGCCTGGGA